GTTCCTATGGGAGCTATATGATATAGTCGTCCGACTTTGATGAAATTTAAACCGTAAATCGGAAATATGTAACCATTACTAAATGTCGAAGAACTAAACAAAACATTAAAAAACAGAAAAGTTATAATTTTTTTTCATTTATTTTTCTGATTGTTCCTATGGGAGCTATATGCTATAGTCGTCCGATTTTGATGAAATTTAAACCGTAAATCGGAAATATTTAACCATTACTAAATGTCGAAGAACTAAACAAAAAATTAAAAAACAGCAAAGTTTTAATTTTTTTTCCTTTATTTTTCCGATTGTTCCTATGGGAGCTATATGCTATAAACGTCCGATCCGGCTCGTTCCGACTTATATACTACCTGCAATAGAAAGACAACTTTTGGGAAAGTTTCATGCATATAGCTTTAAAACTGAGAGACTAGTTTGCATATAAACGGACGGACAGACGGACAGACGGACAGACGGACAGACGGACGGACAGACGGACATGGCTAGATCGACTCGCCTAGTGATGCTGATCAAGAATATATATACTTTATAGGGTCGGAGATGTCTCCTTCACTGCGTTGCAAACTTCTGACTGAAATTATAATACCCTCTGCAAGGGTATAAAAAGTTTGTGGGGTTACTTTCCATTTTAAGAGTATCTACGTAGTGAAGTTAATTATCTTTTGAATTTTAACTAATATTAAAATTATTTAATATTATTTTTATGATAGTTCTTTGATGTTCTTTATATCCGACAAATAAAAATTTGAATTTTGAAAAAAATTTAGTTTGTCTTTAAAAACAATTACCCAAAAATTGTTAGTGTGGTATCCAGCATTAGGAAAAAATTATTCTAAGGCAATTTCGTTTCACCATTGGAAGCAGGCAAACATATACGTTATTCGTAAACACAAATTTAAATTTGAAAGAACGTAAGTTTTTCTCTGTGCAGCTGCAGTACAGAGGCAACAGCAGCTCTACAAAAGGCAACGATGTGTTACACTTTCAATTGTCGCTGTCCCCCAATACTCTTCTGTGTGCGCGTGTGCGTGGGTCCAAATGCGCGAGTGTGTGTGGCAGAGGAAAGTGTAATCCTGCTTGTTTACATGGTGGCTCTGTTGTGCTGTCTAGATCAACGTTTCTTTCTGGCATTGTTAGTGGCAGGACCTTGTAACACTTTTGATCAAACACGCACAGTCACACGCACGCGAACGAACACACATCCACAGGCGCAGGCCATCTAACACAAACATGCAACAAATGAGCGATTCTGCCACTCAATTCAAAGTCCAATTATAAAGGCACATGGGCCTGCGATTGATGGCTCTCTGAATGATTCGTCTATCTGCGATGAGTTCCGCGTCGGGTGAAAAATGTATTGTATATGCCATGACATATAGGTTCAACTGGATTCAATTAAAACAATGTTTTAATCAACCAAGTAACTTACCTCTGTTGTTTTCAATTGAAAACTAACTGAAAATGTCGAAGAAACTTACAAGAAGTATTCAATTAAATTTAAATTATTTTCTCCAACATAATTTTATAAATAATAATTTACTTTATTTTGTTAGAACATTTCATTTGTCTAAGGGAGGGTTTTCTTAGTTTTCCTGTTCATATTGCGGGGATCGCACGTAGACGGGAGCAGGATGGGTCAGTCCGTAGTTGCGGATGACCTTGGGGTAGGTGGAGGCGTACTCCTGCTTGGGATAGCTGGCTGGCTGGTAGGCGGAGTGCTCCTGCTTTCCACTCCTAAGAGTGAAGCCCTCGGGCTGGTAGTACAATCCATTGTAGGCGTCGATCAGACGACTCGCCTCCTCCTCTTCGTCATCGAAAGACCGCTTGCCTCCACCGGGATGGTGGGGCTTAGGGGTAGGTGGTGGTGGTGGGTAGGGGTGGGGATAGGGCGGGTAGTAAGGTGGGTAGCCATAGTAGGGAGGATAGGGATAGTAGGGTGATGGTGGGTAGTAGCCTGAGCCTGGCTTGGGTCCATTTCCATGACCATGTCCGTGTCCGTGTCCGTGCCCGTGTCCGTTTCCATGACCATGTTCGTGATCTGGCTTGGGCGTGGTTGTGGTAGTGGTGTCGGTTGCGTTGACGATCAGGATGCAGTTGACAGTGGTCACATCATCATCGTCATCGTTTCCACTGCCATGGCCACTTCCATGACCACCGCCGTGTCCACTTCCATGACCACCGCCGTGTCCACTGCCGTGTCCACTGCCGTGTCCACTTCCATGACCACTTCCATGACCACTTCCATGACCACTGCCATGGCCGCTTCCCGATCCTGAGCTGGATTCGGTATTGGGCTCATACTCAATGCTCACCACACGACCCAGGCGTCTTTCCTCATCCTGATCGTGATCCAGATCATTGGCGGAGATCACGCACAGGGGACGGCCCTTCTTGGGCTGATCCTTGGTACCGGAACTGAAGATGGCTGGAATGAAGTTGCCCACGGCGAAGCCAGAGGCCAAGCCCTTGATGCCGGCAATGGAGCTGCTGAGCAGTCGGGCCTCCGACACCTCCGCCTTGCCCTGGGTGAGCCGGAGGAGCTCGTTGTACTCCTGCCGAGACACATGGTGCAGACGCACCAGCTGAGGCCGACTCGTGGCTGTCACAAGGAGATAATCATTAGCTACTAAACTATCATTAGGACTAAGCCTAGGAAACCTCACCAGCTTGGACGGCCGCTATGCAGAGCACGATCACTGCCAGACCTGGTAAGAACTTCATGGCGATTGCGAATAAGCTCCACTCACGCTGTTCCCTTGCTTATATATTTCAAAAGTCTTTCTCTGCCGCCAAGTTGATGGCTTGACGAGTCAAAGTTCCCTTTCGGCATTGTCATTCAAATGGATCAATTCAAACTGCTCATCTACAGTTATGGCTTCGCCCTAATCGACTTCAATCTCCATAAAATACGCGTTGACCCAGTTCTCGCTGAGCAACGCCCTGCCCATGCTCGTTATATTAATGGCTCTTTGGTCAAAACACGACTCGCTAGACTAGTTTCACTGATTTAATGATAATGTTCTTGTTTCTAGCTTAGCTCTACGCAGAGATCTCTAGTCCATTCACTAGACTTGGGATCAGCCATAGTTTCCACACAAAAATGCCGGAGATCAATTTCGATTGCAGAACACATCCCAGAAATATCTAGGATCTTAGAATAACTGTTTTTTCTATCTAATTTTCCAAACTAAAATTAAATAAATACAACCGTAAAATATATTTAAATAAAATCTTTATTGTCAGTAATTATAGGGCTCGTTAATGGACACAGGTTTGTAGGAGTACAAACGATTCTTATAGCGATAGTCATCTTCATTTTCGGTTTCGTAGGAGTCCTCATCTTCCTCCTGGTCGTCATCAGCCTCGACCTTCTCAACTTCCTCCATGGCATTGGCTTGACCCATCTGGGTCTGATCCCAGTAGGGATATCCGTAAGATCCATAGTACTGCTGTGGATTGTAGGGACCAATGGGCGGCTGCGGACCATATGGCTGTTGTGGGTAGGGGCCATAGGAAGATTGTCCATATGGATATGGTCCGTAGGGTAATTGGGGACCATATTGTTGCTGGTTCGGATAAGGCTGGGGGCTGGGATAGGGAGGGTAGGGATAGCCACCATAAGAGGGATAGGGAGCACCATATTGAGGTGGTACTGGTGGATATCCGCCTGGATATTGACGTGAATCATCGGAGTCGTCGTCCAAAAGAGCAGCCTTGGGGTAGGTGCTCTTGTTTACTTTCTTCTTCCTTAAAGGAGCAGGTGTGTCCTCCTCAACTGACTCTTCCTTTTCCATTATCTCTTCAGGCTGAGTCTGCACAGCGGATTCTGCCAAAAGTTCAGGAATCTGAGGTTTGTTCCAGTACTGGGCGTAGTTCGGGTGAGGATCCTGGCTGGGCAGCTCGAAGTCACTGTCTTTCTTGAGCACCACTATGCAGTGGATGGCGGATTCTTCGTCGTCGGCCTCGATGGCTTTTCCCGAGCTGCGGGCGGAGGTCACCTCCTCATCCCGGCCTTCACCTTCTCGAGACTTAATCACACACAGAGGCTGACTTTCAAAGTCCACCTTCTCGGCCTCTTCGGTCCTGCTGAGAGTGGTTAAGCCCACAATCCGCAAAAGAGAGTTCCAGCCGGAACTCAAGGACTCGCTAACAGTGGCAAAACCTCCGTTGATCAACCTGGCTTCTGATATAACATTATTGCCCTTGGTCAGCTTCAGAACGCGCTCATACTGCTCCTCATTGATTTCATACACTCGCACCAGTTTCTCTTGATTGGCCGTCGTAGAAGGTGCTGTTGGGAATATTATTTAGCATAAGTTCCTAAGATGTCCGAACAAAAACACACACCTGTCTCTAGGCTGGCAAAAAGAGCCAGAAAAAGCAGCAGGGCCAGTGACAGCTGCAACATGTTCTTAGACCTGGACAACAACGGACTAAATTGAGTCCGCCCGGCTCAAGTTTTATTTATACTTTTCGCTAGAATTAATGGCAAGGCGAATAAAATCGAACGGTATAAAATACCCACCAAATTTGGAGATGAACTGCAATTAAATAAATATTGGACGACACCCATCACATCAGCATCATCATATTCGGCATCATCGCACCAGTGAATCAATTTGAATAAAATTAGCCAACTTTTTACAGGTTCCCAGACATCACTAAGTAGAGTCAATGAACGCATTACTAGCATTCCTTGTCTAGCTATGTCGAACTGGTTTTTAACCTGAATGTATGATTTTTGTAAGGGTTCATGTGAACAAAATATAACATAAATATAATAAAATTCATTTTTATCTCACCCTTTTATTTGTTTCATACCCACTAAAAACAAGCTGCCAGATGTGGTGACTGTAAGCTATTGTTAGAAGTGTTTATATAAGAAAATGTATTATTTTATAATTACATTTTGGTTTATCCAGAGGCAAAACTTTAGATAAATATTATACTCTACCCAGCCCAAAAATAACTTTAAAGCGGCTTTATAAATTTTCTAAATAATAATTTTATTGAATCGATTTGGTTTCATTTCACAAAACTCTCGCCTGCTGTGTCCCTGTGGTTGTTGCCGCTTTTCAACAATCCTATCTGTATATGCATATGTAGGGTACCTATCGATACGCACACATAAAAATGATTTGAGAGTACCTGGTTTATATGTGAATATACTTGTAGCTGCAATGCTGTGACATACCCTCGTACATATTGTAGTCGCTAGGGTTTCGTTATTGTTTTTTGATCGGGGACCGACTTTAATACTTGACACTCAATTCGAATCCGACGCTTTTAGGCGTTTCTGTACGGATTTAGCTTGTTCTGATTAATGTAATGTCCATTCACTCTATTTACAAGATGCGGGCTCTGGGATAGAGCGTATTAAATTTATCTAGATTTTGACTATTATTTAAAGTGTGTTATGTGTCACGTTGTTAAGTTAATTTAGTTCTGCATGTGAGCTATGCCAATTTTGCCTCAGCGTGCGGCTTAACAACTAGGGCGATTCGCAACTTTCGAATCGGTTTTATCTGTTTATATCATTTAAGTTAATTAAAATTACAATTTCGTCTACTAATGAATTTATTTACAGTGCCTGCACACACTCGCATTGCATTCGTATCAATTTTATCGATAAGCACAATTATAAATTGCATTTATTTTCAATTTTCCCCTCTTTTGTTGGTTTTTTGTTTCTAGCCAAAACTAATTATATACAATAAAACGAGCTTCGCCCACAATTGGGTCAGACAAAAACAAGGTTTTTCCATAACTTTCGAGTGCTGGCGAATGAAATCAAGTATCGACTGCTGTAGTTTATCCGCTTATTGGCTAAACATTCATTTATAATCGTTCTTAACCATAGCTAATTCCTAGAACTGATAAAAGTGGAAAGCCAAACCAGATCTACTCGAACACAAAATCTTCTTATTTTGTTCTGAGTCGGCAAGTTTATAAACAGTTCGAAGTACTCTTGAATAAATTTCTCTCGAATGGCAATTATATACAGCAAATATGAATCCAACAACTTGATGCAATGGGCTACTGGAGTGCGAGTTCGTTGGCAGTAAGAGATATTGCGTACAATTAGGGTATTGTGATTCCGAAGAACTGGGTTTCCTGCCGTGAATCGGACTGTAAGGGGGTTTTATAGCTAGTAAGTCTTATTTTATAATGAAAGGGTGTGGAAGGTTTCGCTGTGGGTGTGCAATCGATGATCTGTAGCAAAAGAGAGAAATCCAGTGGCTGAATATCTCTTATCTCGGGTATTGTTTACGGTCATCGATTGTCTCTGTAGGTTTTTAATCAATTATTTTCTAACCAATGTAAAGCAATTTTTAGGCAGTCAAAAAGTTAGTAAAAGAATAAAACAAATGATACTCAACGAATATTTCAAACTGTAAGTGAATCGATTATTTCAGAACAAAATTTGATGAAATACTCAAAACAAATATGTTATATATACCTCTTGATTGGAAACAAATTTGAAAGAATTGCTCAAACAAAACTATATACTTTTTAAAAGATTAAACTACATTAGGATTCTCCACGAAAATGCATAGGTTTTTTTGAGACTTGCTATTAGTTTTCAAGGGCTTAGCATCCTCTCTTAACACTGTTAAATACTTGTTCGCTTATCAGATAATATGTTTGTTTTCCACTAAGTGCATTAATCTTAGAAGTTAGTAAATACTTATGGTTGAGCCCCCCATGCGATACATAGAAAACTTAAATCACCTTGAATATGTGTGTGTATGTGTGAGTGTCTTGTGTGTGTGACGGTGTGTGTTTTGCCTTTTTAGTGTTTCGCTGCGTGTTGATTATTCCTTCATCTCAAACACCGAGTTGCCGCTAGGCGTTCTTTCAACATGTTGCACGTTGCTGATGTGGATGTTGCTGCTGTTGCTGTGGCTGTAGTTGCTGCTGCTGCTGATGCAATTCCTCCTGTTTCGCTGGTCGTTAGCGATGCTCGCCTCGGGGGCCGCAGTGCCGCCGATTTTACCGACGGTGCCGCAACATGGATATATGCCTCGTAAAAGTGCTGCAGGCAGCAGGACACAATGCTCAGCAGCATGCAGCAGATGCCGCAGTAGAAGCTGTTGCTGTTGCTGCTCGAATTGTGTTGCATGGCCGCCGGGTGTTCGCCTGTCAGAAAGCGAAAACAAACAGTCAATTAGGGATGGCAGGCTTTTCGATGCATCATCTGTAGTAGCGATATTTAGCGACAGTTAAGATTGATCTATGACCTATATTGCTCTCTTTTATTTAACATTTTATTTAAGAAAGGGTTATGAAAACAAAAAGTTACACTATTACAAAGGTAAATTTTCATTTAAATTTCTTCAGATTCTAGTAATTTTTGTAGAAATATATTTATATGACATATTTATATTATAAACCGGTCACCAAGGATTTTTAAATAGTAGTATTTATATATATTCCGTTGCAGAGCGTATTTTAATTTCAGTCAAAAGTAACGCAGTAAAGGTCACACCTTCCACATACAATATTTCTAATAATAAATTTTGAAACAAAAAATAAGGTATCATTCTATCAAATAAATATACTTTTAAAACGTTCTCATTTAACAATAACAGGACTCAGCAGGGGCACGCTGCATTAAAAATTGCATGTGTGGCCCAAAAGATTAATTAATTCGATGAAGCATGCCCAATAAGCTTATTTAATCACTTTGACAAAAATTTTAACTTCACCTTTTTTATAATTTGAGTTATAACTCAAAATTTTGAAAAAATCAGAAAACGCTATCATATAGCTGCCTTGAGAACTCAGAACAAAATCGGCTTGCTGAACCTTGCTTCCTTTTTATATCCTTGCAGAGGGTATTATATATAGAGTCGATCTACCCATGTCCGTCTGTACGTCCGTCTGTCCATCCGTCTGTCCGTCCCTCTGTCATATAATATTATTGTTTTCAAGAATATGTTACTTTTGCAATAGCTGCAAGGGTATAGGAACTTCGGCTTGCTGAAGTTGACTTTTTTGCTTGTTAAAAATTTGTTTCTGCACCATTTTGTTTTTTTCTAAACCGATTCTGGATGTGTAGTATAGGTCTATACGTCTAATTTTGTCCAAGTTACAACGAAAGGACTCTTTCGGATTTTGTTTTTTTAGAAGTCTCCAAAAACCTAAAAGAACACCTAAAAAATCAGTTTTTCTATCAAAACGCTGAGTAGTATTATTCAAATGTTGGAATGTATACATACATCGCTGAATTCGTCATTAAATTGTCTGAGTTAAAAATTTTTCAGATTTTCAAATTTTTGAAAAAACCCTTATCAAAAATGCAAAAATTGTCATAAAATTAATTTCTTCAAAATATCGATTTTAAAAAACCAGTTTTTTCAGATTTTCAAATTTTCAGTTTTAAAGCTGTCTGCATGAAACTTTCCCAAAAGTTGTCTTCCTATTGCAGGTAGTATATAAGTCAGAACCAGCCGGATCGGACGACTATAGCATTTAGCTCCCATGTGAAAAACAAAAATATTAAAAAATTTTATTTTTAAATATAACATTTTTATTTTGAAATTTTTTTAGAAATTCTTTTTGATTAATTAATAATTTGACAGTTCAAATTACGTTTTTAATTTTACTAAAATCGGAAAACGATATCATATAGCTGCCCTATGAACTATCAAATAATTGAGCTGCAAATCATCATAGCTTCAATGTTTTAAACATATACGCAAGTCAATCGTAATATTAATGTTTTCAAGAATATGTTATTTTTGCAATAGCTGCAAGGGTATATGAACTTAACAACTTTCTTGTTGTTAATAAATGCACTCAATGATTTTAATGCCCCATATTGGGCATTGCACATCTACATGTTACCACACAGGAATAGAACAGAAATTTAAGCAATGGAACGCGAAAGCTCTCTTAGTTCATTGGATAATTGGTTGGCAGTCGAGCGGGGCTTAAAGCAGCTACCTGCTTCCACTGATTGCCTTTGAGCTGGCTTTTCTTCGACAGATAACTTTGGCTTCAGCTTGCATGCATGCATTTCCTGTTTGTGCCAAAGCAAAACATCGGCAGCTGAAGTTGTTATAGTTCTCGATGAGCTTTTGAGCTCACAAGCTGCTGCCATAAAACTGACAAGCTCCTCAAGCCCCCCGACTTTTTAGCCACACACACACACACATGTACCGTGTTATTGGCCTGCAGCAAAGTTTCCAGCTGCAGCGGCAACTAGAAATAATTTCCGTGCTGCTGCACAAATACAAACATGCGGGGCTGCGAAAAAGGTCGAAAAAAAGGCGAGCAGCAAATTCTCGCCGAGTCTGCTGCAATGCAATTACTACACGGCCACGCCCCGTTTTGCACTTGGCATTACAAATTGCGAATGTGCCGCTGCTAACAGCCAACTTCCACTTCCCGTCATAAACATGCAAAACTCTCTGACAGCACGAGCACCAGAAATTGCATCGCAGGTAAGCCCGCCGCCGTAGTCCTTACTTACCGATAATTACGTGCACATAGACGCTCGAGGTTTTTGCCACCGTCGGCACACAGGTGTAGTTGCCAGTATCGCCGGGCATGGCGCGCTTGATTTTTAATCTGTGCCGGCGAACCGGAGTGCCGGGGTACCGGGAAGGGAAAGAAAGCATAGAGAAAGTGAATGGCAGTGGAGAAATGCATGGGAACAAAGGAAAAGGGAAAAATGCCACGGAATGCCAGGCAAAAACATCAAGAAAAAATGCAAAACTTTTGATACTTTATGCGATAGCATAATGTGTACCGAGTTCCCTCTACCACTGACTCTAATTCGAAGTTACTTTACACTGGGACAAAATATTTGATTCATTTATTTGATAGATTTATTGAAACCAATTCGTACGACCTGAATAGACATATTTTGACTTTATAAGCTAGTTAAAAAAACCTTTAAGCCTTTTTTTGTGAAATTCGCGGTTTTTTTTAAATTATTATTTTAAGCATTACAAAGATAATACCCCATCCCAGCAATTAAACAAATTTGTTTGTATAATTCAAAAGTCATATTATTGACTTAAAAAATGTTTTTTGGGGTACAAGTTTACACATAATTTTAATTTTTTTTACATTTCTGTTAAGCTATAGCCCTGCTTTTATTTCAGTGGTTATCCTTTGGTTTTTTTAAAGAGAGCTTACTAATCCCTGGTAAAAGCCACTCTCTTTTCATCTCTGTCAGCGGCACCTGCATTTTATGGTCGTCTGGGTCGTTAGTTAACAGCACAAATGGGCAATGATCACGTGGCGGCACCACAAGCTAAGCAACTAACTACTGCAGCCCCAGACTCTGAATCCGAATCCGGCTGTGACTAAGCTCTGACTTTGAGTAAGGCAAATTAAAAGTCACACACGGCTAGCTCGAGCACACACTGGAGTGATGGAATGGAAAACGAGCAACGCTTAATTTAGCCAAAAGCGTGTCCTTAATGTGAGAAAAAAATTAATATGCCTTTAAGAAAATTTATCATGCTATTTATAACTACAATGAAATTACAAAAACTTTTCGTTATTGTCGAGCAGTAAGAACTATAAATAGGATTAAAAGGGTTTTCCGGCTATTAATCCATTTTGACTATTTATTTATCTATTGTAGATTTAGTTTTTGTAGACCGTAACAAAGGGGAAGTATTGTTAAAAACGGTCACAACAAATTTGTATATTATTTAAAAGAAATAACTAACCACAAAAGTGCTATATGCTATACTTTTTTCCTTTTAAAAGCAAGGAAAGTAATTTCAAATTGAAGCAATAAGTTGTAGTTGACGACTACTTCGGCTAGTTCTATAGACAGAGCCTGTCCCCTGACTAACCCACCCCTCAAAACTGTTCAGATCTAGACTGCTGGAGGGTCCTTTAGCCGCCACTCGTCCTTCGCTTTGGCCTTAAAATGTCATTCAAAGTCGGGGCCCGTGTTTCCCTCAGCCGGCTGGTAAGGACATGGCTGGAAAAGTGCAGGCTGCGAGCCTTTAAAATCCCCACCCGAATGCTATGTACCTGGCCTTAATTGAGTGAGGCGGTATTTTAATGCGAAATAACTGAAATGCTCGGCACACATTTGCACGTTTGCCAGGCGGAATGGCATGGCGCAATGATGGGTGAGTCGTTACATACCTCGAAGTCAGCCCGTCAGTCCAATCATCCTCGACGCGAATCCGGGCCATGGAACTGTCGATTTCGTTCTCACTCTTGCCATCGAGCATTTCGCTGCCTGGAATGTGAAGAGTAGCAAATTGAATTGCGTAAATGAGGTGCGGAAAATGGAGCAAGGTGCATGCTGAAGTTCATTACGCATACGCACCTTTGTACCAGAATATGTTGCCCAGCTCGTGGGGTCCCTGCATAATTTTACAGGTTAGGTTAATGTCGCTGCCGGTTTTCACCATCAGATCGCTGGGCCCGAAGATTTCCGCTTTGAGTTCTGCAAAAAAAAATAAAGAGGACCGGGCGAACAAAAAGTCACTTTAGTTGCTAGCACACAAAGCCAAGTCTTTCCCTCTCTTCGTAACAATGATAATAATAATAATGTTAATGATAACGTCCAAGTGCACGTTTGTCTCTACAGTGTACGAGTGTGGGGACGGCGGACTGAGGGCTGAGAACTGAGGCTGGGCTCTACTTTATTACACAGACGCGTGTCTCTATTATGCTGGCGATAAGCTTCTGTTATGCCATATAAAAGGCAGTCGGGCACCGGGTGACTCATACGCCCCGTGGTACCTGCAACTCGCTGTTGTTCTCTGTCCTGCTCTCAGCGGAATTGTCGGCAAAAAAAGGAAAAAAAGACAAAAAAAAAAGACAAAGCCCTGGCCCGGCAGATTGGAGAGAATTTTCTGCTTTCCATTTGGGGCACAAAATCAAAATGTCAACATTGAAGTGCCTTTTGTTGTTACAGCGTCAATGATTTCAATTGAGAAAAATCATCGTGGGCAGCCACGAAATGCGATTTGTACTTAGAGCTTATGATGGCTGACAGTTGCTTTAATGGAAAACGTCCCAATCGGCTTTCCCTCAAACCCATTTTCCGCAAAGTGAGTGCTAAATGCGACAACGGAGGACGGGAATCTAGCAGCAACTCTTCCGCTTTGCTCCACTTTCACTCTCGTAAACTGCTGCAAAGGGAAACTTTTAAGGCCCTAAACAACCGCCAAAGCCCGTGGAATAAATTGCAGCCAAAGTGCGGACTGCAACTGGAACATCTGTGTATCGGGCTCTGGCACACACATTCCCGCACGGATGTGGCTATGTTTTTGCTATGGCTTGGCTGCCATTCAATCGTGTGGCAAAAACCGAATAAAACGAAATTTGAATGCTCCAGAAACGGCTGATGACTTTTCCATAACTTCCTCTCCGACCAAGCTTTAATTCTTTGGTCCTTAAATCAGGTGTGAGGGCTGCGTCCCAAAAATGTTAATCTAAATGAAATGCCAAGTGGAAAAAGTAATATACATCGCCGAAACAAAGGAGAAGACCAAAAAAACTGGAACACAACGAATGGGCCGGAGCAACCCCAAATGGAATTCGAACATGCTGGGCGATTATCTGGCTGTTTTATAGACCCGCACACATATATCTAAGGGGGCCGAGTTCCGAGAAAAGCGCTGAATGTGGCACGTTGTTGTCGCTGATGGCCGTTGTTGTACCTGGCAAAACAATTGTGGCAGCAAAAGCTAACCGTCTATGACTTCTGCGAACCCCAGTGCAGGAGGCCGTGTCTGCGAAAATTATTGCCATCCAACCTCATACACACATGCAGCTGACAACGCGCCTGTGGTTCCCATGAATTGGGGTTTTCCAAGGAGTTGGGAGCTGCGTTGAAGCCCAGGTGAGAACCCGCATAAGGTGGCTTCTTTGTCGCTCCCTCCACCTGGCAGTCGAAATAAATGGGAACCGTTTCGGGAGGTTCTCTCCCGGAAAATTGCTTATTTAACTATAATTAGATTAAGTGGGGAAGGCAATTGGCAAGCTGCATTGTGTATGAGGGAATGGGGCCAAGTCAACCCACAGCTATTTGAAGTTTTCATTAGACCTGGCCGCAGTTGACCCAGGCCGAAAAGTTGCAAAGTCTACTCCTGGCCACATGCCAAAGTCGAAACGCCCCCGTTGTCCTGGCAAACAAAGTCCTTGCCGAGTCTTGTTTACACACAGCCAGCTCAGAGGCTCAGACTATGGAGAATTTTTGTGCAGCCGCAGCAGAAAGTGCAGAGCGAAGGATCAACACTGGCGGAGGATGGTGGTCGGGGGATGTGGGGATATGGGGATATGGGGATGGGAAATGCATTTCCATTTTTCTTGATTTCGCGCATAAAATGCGCATAAGCCTATATGGCCATAAACATTTGGAGCGATGAACTTTGCAGAGGGCCGGGCACAAAACATGGCATACTTTTTGGGGCCAGTGCAGCACTGACTGGGGCTGACTCCTTGCTCGTTGCGGAGCCGGGCTGTAAAAATTTATTACCCTCGCCTGTGTTGATGCATGTTTGCACACATGTAACAACATCTCGGTATTTATTGCCCGAAAAACAATATCAAACTGGGCCGTGCCGAAGCGGGCATATTCTTTAAACTCCGGACCTCTTTAAATGCTGGCGCCGACAATTAATCGGACGTGGACGTGCAATTGCTCGGAATTAATTGTCAAATCAAATAAGCAAATTCAATTTGTAAAAGTCAGCCGCACTGCCAGCACAATTGATGAAGTATTCGCCCCTGCTCCATTCCATTTGCCTGTCAGGCTCCTAGGATCATAGGCCCGGCAATCCTCATCCCAACAATGGCTAAATGAAAATGCCAAAACATCATCATTGCCCGAGTCCCGTTTCGGCCTTTTCAGTAGTCTCCATTGTTGTGATTATTATTATTATTAATAATTCGACATTGCTGCAGAGACATTAATCATTTCCTCCTCCGCTCTAGCATGCTCTACTTCACGGCAATATCTTAGTAATTTATCATTGGGGCATTTTTTGGGCTAGGCATTCGCCGTAGAATGTAATTTGAGCAGCAAATGAACGAAATGGGAAGTAAAACATTTGATTGCCCGGCAAATTGTGGGGCCCAGCTTAGCCGACATCGTCCTCGTCCTTGCAACTTATTTATAAAAATTCATTATCCCCTTCATTCGCTCCCACAAATGGCTGAGTCTATCTCCATCTCTATCTCACCTGGGCGTATTTAAAACACTCTGCTGGGTATTGTATATATTAACCGAAGGAAAACTTTACCTCACGTACAATTTGCATGCGAACTGGGTCAGACAGAAACAACTGCACCAACAAATGGCTGTTGGCAAGACAATGAGTATCGCTTAACTTTTAAGCTTGCTCAAGTGTTCGCTTCTTGGGCATTCAATGTGCATCCATAATTGCCAACATTTTCTTGGTTTTCGTCAATTAACCTCTGCAAACAATTGCCGTCTTGGGTGGCAAAGAAAGTGGCGAACTTCGCCAACTGCTTTCGAGTATTGAGAGAAACGAATTTCTTTGTTTTTGGCAAGGCCACGTTAATGGATTTCTGTGGCACACCATTATTTTTCCATTCATGCTGCCAAAGAAAACTCCCCGAGCTGAAACTAATTTAGTGCTGCTCGAGCGAAGTGAAGAGACACTTCTCAAGAAAGTGTCCCAGTGGAAGTTATTATCGGTTAAGTCGTTTAAAGCTCCAGTTTTAGAAGTTGGCAAATTTTAATGGCAATTTCATATGAAGCTAAGAGTAATTAAAATCAAACACTGTGAAAATCCCCTCGATTTTGTGAGGGCGGCATACGAGCATCGTATAATGGCATTAGTTAAGTTTACCTTAACTTATTCAAAGTTCAAATATATATATCATGTTGTTTGTTTCTCCTTGTAAATTTAGGTTAATGGTAATCTATGGTTCATATTCCATTTTTCGACGCTTCCGGCTGTGTACTTCAAACGAAAATTTGAACGTAAGTCCTTCAAAGGGACGAAGACCTGCAGCCTAAAGCTTTTTATTGCTCCTGGCTTGCTTATGCAGTGGATTATTATTTGCGCTTGATTGCATGCAATTTGCTGGCTGCTAATGTCAACAGCATCTCCCATCTAAAGTGTTGGTTTATGGTGCCCAAAATGAGCCATCTACTTGGCATCGCCATCTTGTCAGCTACGCACTCAAATTGCCTTTCATTCCGGCTCCCCGATCCTTCGGCCGACTGCAGCTCTTCCGCTGGCTGTGCAATTTGTTTTCCACTCCACCTTTCCCTCGCTTTTTACTAAGCAAGGTAGTGCTTACGCTTGATTACATTCGCGCTGGTAAACAAATTTTTCCAGAACCATCAACAACACCTTTCTTATTATACCCTTAATGTGGGGTAAGCGAAATTTTCGGAAGCTTTTGTAATGCGGTAAAGTATACTTCACTTTTTATATATAGGAAACACATTCGGTGCAGTTTCATTTGTTCATTTTCATTATTTCTCAACAACTTTTCTATAAGTAGTTTCGTACAGACTTTTCAAGACGTTCAGTAAGAACACTTCACCCGTAAACAAAACTATTTGAAAAACTGCAGCTCAATGTGCAAGATGGTGTAAAAGCTATTAAGCTAATTAAGCTATTTAATTTTGATATTATTTAAAAACATCGTATTGAGAATGCTTTGTGTTATTTGAACTATGTGGTTAAAAAAGAAGAGTGCTTTTTAGAAAAGAATAATTTTGCAAGTTTAAACGTTTTGCACAAGTCATAATTTTTAGAAGGAATCTAAATAATACCTGCGAGTGTATATCAAGGTCGGCTTTCTGCAGTTAACTGGCTTTCTCGATTTATTTTTGTTCGCCCCAGCACATAGCCTGCTCCTCGTCCTTGGCTGTCAGTTGGGTCCTGTTCTCTTGTTGTCGCTCAGTTTGAGTGGGACAGGGACACATAATTTAATTTACAATTTGCTCGCTTTATCAGCGTGTTTGGTAATTTGCCTTAAATTCAAAATTAAATCGAGTCGGGGCGACAACTCGGAGTCGTCTGAAGTTGTCTATGTGCATATAAACATGCTTCCACTGCTGACACCTAGTTGGCAGTACCTTCCTTCACTTTTCGAGAGCCGAGTCGAGTACATAAAGTTGGTAATTTAAGCAATTGGAGCGGCTGCTGCAGCATTAAAATGTCAAAAATATTGCGGCCAAGGCGGAAGGCAGTGGGTGGTGGGCGGTGAGCGGACAAGGCGCAAAAGCGGAAGAGGCGGCCCATACTGGAGGCGATTTATGTTTATGATGCTCTGGTCAACTTGGCGCTGTTTTGTTTATCACTCGGCGCGCTCTCCGCTTTCATCTCACTGTCCGTTTTTTGCCTGACTGCCTGGCGTGTAATAGAATTTTCACTGGCTTGGAAACAAAACAGCAGTGAAGAAAAAACACAAATTTATGGAATTTTTAGTGCACATTTTTTTATTTGCATAAGCGCATAAAAAGTCTGGCATAACAACAAACTTGTTTGCAACGACAATGACGGCATACCCAGCACAGTGGAGCTGCTAAAAATGTGGAGCAAATAAGCGCGTAGGAATGTTTACTCTTTATAAACTTGACATATTTGACATTTTTTTTATTGATTGAAATTATTTTTTAAACACATTTATGTGACACGTTTTAGAGCACAGTTTATTTTCCAATAAAAAACCATAAGATTTAATGTGGTAAAGTGTAATGGCATTTTAAAGTACTAGAACTATATGATTTTATTGGTTTTTCCACCACTGTCTACACTGAACTGCTGTTTGCTGTTTCCGCGTGAGTGGCATGTCGAATATTTTATATGCACATTTCTTTTTGGGCATTCAAATGAGTTCCAGCCAGCCCGGGAGTTTCAGCCGCCCACTAATGTGGGCGTGGCCTGGCTATATGCAGCCGCTCCGCAGTCATTTGCATTTCCGCAAATGTAATATTTATGACTCTATGTGTCTATGTGAGTGTTTGAGGCTGACTTGTCAGCCTGTCAAGTTACTGGATCCCAGCTCTGGCATACGTGTAAACTCATATTCAAAGCTCTCGGTTATATTCCTGGGCGCACTAAAAGATTCATAACCGAGTCGGGGGCTGACCAGAGCATTTTATACTGGCCCCAAAGTCGTTTGTCCGTGTGGCTAAAACAACAACGCACACACTAGGCAAACATGTTGTGGGGAAATCAGAGATCAAATAAGCTCATTGAGGGCACTCTTCCGCACCAGAAGCTTTTAGTCAAATGCATTTTGCTAATATCAAATGCGATAAAAATGCACCGAACAGGAACGAAACCGAAAATCCAGAAAAGCAAAGGGATGAGTGTGGTGTGTGCTTCCAAGGATAACGTCTTTCAGGACACAAGGCTCAGGACTCAGAACTCAGAACTCAGGACTCAGCCATCTATCCAGGCTCAGCTGCTGAAGTGTGACAAGGGTCGTGACCCTGCCGAACCAAGTGCAAACTAATTACCCGGCCAATTGCCAAGACAAAAAGGTGAGCACTCGCTCACTTTTAACCCCCAACTTGTGCTGCTCAGCAAGCCAATTTGCACATAATCGAATTGAAAATTTTATAATCACGAGCAGCAGAAGAAGGCAGCTCGACGGGTGGTCGGAATGGCTGCCAACTGGGCTCACATGTTTCCGGGCCAGAGGAGATTGAGAAAATAACATGCATATTGTATGGCTTGCTTAAGCTCTAAAAACCTGCATAGCTTGCTCAAAACTGCCGGCAAGCTTCAAGAGCTTAGCCCATAAAAGTAATCACTTCAGTGGTTTGTGACCAATTTCGAGCAAGACTCCTGTTCCACCTCCTTCCATTTCGATTTGGCCTACTTTGCAGTGCCGGCTAATGGTCGAACTTTTGATTATAAGCCCCAGGCTCGGAAATGAGTCAGCGATTATGGTTATGTTATATTCCAAGCTGTTGCATTTATCTTAGCTTACCCAAATTTAAGGGAATAAATAAAACTAATAACTATCGAGCACCCATTGTTTTCTATTTAGAGCCACAGATAAACCTTAGTCAACTCGAAGTCCCTAAGTTATAGGAATTTATATAATTCATAATTAATTTTAAAATCTTTTAATTTGTTAGTCTAGATTTTCACATGCTTTTATTAAGGTTAGATTTCGTTGTATTTAATTTGTTTATATGTTACAGCTCGTAGCGCGTATAGTTACTGTTTACTTGTTACCTTTTGAGCGTAGATTAGTTTATTTTTTTGGAATTTTGTGCTGGAAAACTGTAGGTTAGCTGTTGTTTATATTTATACCACAACAAATATTAGTTTATTCATACAGAACAAAGAACTTTATTTTCGTTGCTGTGCTTTAACCAACTCATCAGATCTAGTTGTCTGTATAGTTTATTAGTTCTAAGCTTGGTTATGTGTAATAAATTTAGAACAATAAATCTGTTCCTTTAAATTTGGTATAATGGTCTACAGAAAATAAGTTGTTTACTGTGTGAAGTGGAACGTTAGTTAGAAGGCAGTAGCCATAACTCACCGACTACGTTGAAAGTGTACGACAGGGACATCTTGGGCTCCGTGTTGATTTGGCACTCGTAGACGCCGGAGTCACGTGGCTGTGGATACTTGATTTGCAGGGTCCAATTGGCGGAGCCATCGGGTCTCAGAACCTACGGCGAAAGGGCAAAAAAACTTTCAGTCTCCACCCGGAGTTTGGCCGCGCAGGGGAGGAAGGGGGTTGACACTCACCTGGAAACGCTGATCGGATGTGTAGGTGGTGCCGCCGGCGGTGAGGATATGCAGATCACGTTTGCGTATCCAGGAGACCTACAACGAAAACAAGGGATCGGAATGAAGTGCGTTTTGCAGTTGGACCGCTTGCCGCTTGGCAAAGTTTCGGGGGCATTACAAATTCCGCACTTAAAACTTTTTTTCTCACAAGTGAGTTAAACGTGTTTTGTCTGCTGCCTGCTGACACCACTCCCCGGAGTTGAGATGAGGTGGCAAAATGAAAAACAAAGCGCAAAGTTAACTTTTCTTTTATTTTTTTGTTCGTGTTCGTCGTTGGTTAATCTTTAGCATTTTGCTTTTTGTTGCTGGCATTTAATCAGTAGACAAACAAAACGTGGTTGAGCTGGGGAATACAACCAAAAAGTTGTCGAGCTTAAGCCGAGTACATCTCAGCGTGAAAAGGACAACGATGCCCATACAAATGGCCCTTGACAATTGCAAACTCTTAAAGCCAGACAGGTCGTAAGGTCAGTCTGTCAGTGGGTCGGCGGCGGTTCAATTTTGTCAAAGCTGCTTGCTCAGCGCGATTTCCAATTGTTTCAAATAGCCTTCAATCCTTTTTTGAACCCAGCGAAAACGAAAAGGAAAAGAAAAACGGCAAGCAATGAGACAGCTTTGACGCCATTTTCAGCCTTTATTTGGGAGCATTTTTATTATTGCTTGAATTACATTTTCATTTGATTGCCTAGCGCCCTTGCCTTCGCATTGGCCTTCGTCCTTAGCTGGAAAATCATCTGGGGAAAGCCATTAACCATGATTTTGTGTGTCCCACTGCCCGAACGGGCCGTGATTTCATGGCAGCCCGCCGCCCACTCGCTTTGTCCCCTTTTTGGCACATTGTTTCCAATTTATTTGATGACCTTAGTTTCCGCTGCTGTTGCTCTCGGCCATTGTGATACTCAATTTTAATTACATGGAAAAAGTTTTGCTCTTCTTGTTTGGGTTTGAGTGCCACACTCCCACACTCCCGCAGGAAACTTTAAATATTTGTCGACTGTCAGCATTAAAGTTGAAAATATGCTACCTCATTAATAAATTTAAGTGCAATCGGCCCCGTGGGCTTTTCCCTTTAGTTGGCCACTAAACTATTCCGTAAATACAGATTGCCAATAGGCCAGCCAACTATTGGCCATCTAATAAATTCATTCGATTTGAGCCCAAATCGGCACACAGCCGAACGAAACCGGTCACGTAAAACGTAAAAATAAAAATCATTCCCTTGTAAAACTTTTATGCGCCTGCCGCTTTTACGCCCCTCAGGATCATAGGCGAATTGTCTCGACCGAATGTAAATTAAACAGCTCGGCGCAAATGGGCGGGGAAAAAGGTCAAATCTCGGCAACATTGATGCGATTTACCCGTTCGCTGATGTCCCCGGCTCACTGTACGTTTGAGTAATGCATAGAAATTGCGTTTTTGCACGCCGTAAAGTGAGTTCGAAATTAACTGTAAACGCGACAGGCGGCACCAACTAAATAACTATTGGAAGGGTAAGTTTAGCGCAGCCCGATTCAAGATCGCTCAATTAGATATTCCAGGCCGGCACTTAAATATTTAATCTTTGAGCTGGAAACGACTGGAAATCAAAAGTGAAAACTTTTACAACTTCACCCAAGCCAAAGCCCGGCTCACAGCCATATCCCCTCTCAAGAAGTTGTCCCAATCTCTGCCGCACGTTGGATTTCTCCGGCGAGGGACAGGTTGCAGTCCCGTGAGTGCTGAAACTTTGCTCGGGGTATAATTTTCGTAATGTCTTCAGGTTTAAATAAATACCACAAGCATAGTTTTATATTATTTAACACTTTGTGTTCGCTGCGGCCAGAAACTTTCACTCTGTCCGCCTTCCACCCTTGCTTTGCCTTTGTTTTTCTGTCATCTCTCAGCAAAATGCCAAATGAAAGAAGTTTCAGCTGAGGTTGCTGGAAAAAGAGTGTGTGTGTGTTTGTCTGTGTGTTTGAGTGTGTGTTTGTGTGTGTGTGTGTTCGTGTTTGTGCGAGCGTTTGGAAAACTTGGCGAAAATACATTAAAAACTTTGCTGACGCATTTTCTGCGTCTCTAACCAAGAGAGACTTTAAACTTGGCCGAACTCGACAGAGCCAAAAATAGTTGCAGTTGCAGTTGTTAGTTTGTTGCCACTGGCTTTGTCCGAGCTTAGGAAATGGCGTGAAAAGTTCCATTAGGCGCTGCGGAAAGCGTTCCCGATCCGCCATTTACTGGGGATTCGCCTAATGAACATGCGATCCAAATTAAATTGTTTTTCCGGCGAGTCAACCACTTTTCGGGCCTGACAATAAACAAATGAAGACTTCAATGGCAATGGCAGCATTTTGTAAACAAAGTTGTAAACAGATTTCGATTTCTTTTTTTTCCCGCTGTTTCTGGGAACAAAGGTTGTCCTGTCGGCATTAAAAAGGGTTCGCTGCCTTTTCACAAAGCCTAAAACTTTGTTTAATATACTTTTTTTCCGCGCGCCTCGATTGCTGTTGATGCCGCCGGTATTACACAAGTAAATTGCTTGTGCTCATGTTCGCTGATGGAGCCGTGGAGCGTTTATGGAAACGTTGGCGGCACTCGGCGCGTAATAAATCAACAGTGAACGAACAATCCTGTGAAGTCAAGTTGAACAAGCGGATTCAACGCCAGCTTCCGCCAAAGAGCGGTCGAAAACAAGAGCAGAAGGTTTTGCTTCATGGACCGAAGATTATCATACCCTTGCTGGACACTCAAGCGATTTAATTGCCTTTTAGGCTTATGGCGAGGTATGATAGCCAACGCTTAACTAAATGTTGGAAAACTTAAAATGTCGTAGGCAGCTGAATTTGATATTCAATTGGAAAAGCGTTCAACATGTGCACAAATTCTGTACATTGGTTTCACTAAAGCCTGAAATAGTTAACGACCCTACACTTCATTCAATTATTACTTTAACAGTTTAGCGTTACATTAGATCTCTTATACGAAGTTCCAATGAATTCAAGCGGCGGACTTATAAACGTTGTGTTCAAATTAAAAAGAATATTTTTTTTCCGGTACTCCCATAATTGTAATTATGGCTCAGAAGCCAAAGAGAGTTGGGAAAAACACAAACCCCCTGTAAGGGTATTAAAAAAGCACGCCGCGAAAGCCGAGCTCCGCCGGCAGTGTCAGCTGATATGGAAATGGCACCCATCCCTCGGTCCACAATCCCCGCCTGCCCGGAAAACTCACGGCTAACGAACTAACGGCACGGGCATAAATTACCCGAGAATGCCGGCTTCGCGTGGAGTGGCGCAAAATGGAAGCCAAGCGCCGGCAAAGTTATTTGCCGTAACTGTTACACTTTCAATTTTGAGTTTATGGATGCAGCAGAGGCGGCGGCGAATGACTTGGGGCAGGATGCCCCCAGAAGCCGGCTTTTTGCGTGGGCACTGACAGCACGGTTCCAGTCCGTCAATTACAATTAATGTGGGCGACTTGGCTGCGGGACAAGTTTGTTTTCCAGCCAGCACATGCTCAACCTTCCCATAGAAAAATAGACGACGACATAAAGAGAAAAAAATCGAAAAGTTATTGCTTAAAGACTATCTGCATATATTAAATCATTACAAATTAAAAGAAATTAAACATAGTTAGCAAAACTGCAAGAAAAAGCAATTAATTTGTTTTTAAAATTTAATTATAATTTAATTATTACTTACAATAACCACCAATTGCGTCAAAAATATATCATGTCAATTCTCATATATAAATATATATATTGATATTTAAATGTTGTTATAGTTTAAGAAGAGAAGAAGTAGCGGCATCTGCTTAAAAGCAAGTACTCCTTGAAATAGACAACAGTCTGAACAACTTAACAAAAATTCCATCCGAAACAAAAAGAAAGCAAAAGCTACCTCTATTTTACACAGAGATGTATTAAAATTTTTGGTTAATTTCGGTATCCAACTGCCCAAAAATCGTCAAACCAATCACAGAATGGAGTGCCAAAAGTGTGGTAAGTTTCTGGGGGTCCTTACATCAATCACACAAAATGTGCCACCCGAATTTTTGACCTCCAGATACTACCAGCAATGCCGGTGACCACAGACTCGATCCGACTAGGAATCCCGTGGACCTCAAGCCGGAAACCACCCTGGAGATGGAGATTGAGGAGGCCCTGTCCTCGAGTAGTGCCGATGACACCCCGCCGGGAATGATCGTGGTAGAGACGCACATCAGTTGCTGGGATAAGATGCGACCCCATCAGTCCTTCGAGAAGAACGCCACGTCAACGGATGTTGAGGGTCCTGAGCTGCCGGCCTGCTCCGTTTCGCTGGGCAAGAAGCCCAATGTCCAGTTCCAGAAGCTGCCGCACCCCACTCATTCGCTGGTCAGCACGGAGGCCTCTCTGGCCGTCGCCACATGCCCCGCCTATGTCGCCACCTGCTCCCCGAAGCCATCAATTACCGAGTCCATTGCCACACTGCGCCACTGCATCGACGGAACCACGCAGTGCAACAACCTGACCTACGACTCCGTTTCCAACGAATCAATGCCCTCGCTGGGATCGCTGGTCTGTCGAATTTGCCACAATGCCGACAATCCCGAACAGTGAGTTAAATTCCAGGCGCCCCAATGAGTTGGGAGATACAGAATATTCACTAGGTGATACCCAATCAACAATCTATAGGCCCCGATTTAAATATATGCACGTTCGCACGGTGCTGTAACTTCCATTTAATTACGTACGTGCAGCCGCAAATTGTGCAAGAAATTAATTGCACGGCATTTAATGCATTTAGTGCAGGGCCCGCCAGCGAATGCATTTATTTATTTTAATTATTAAAATTAACACTGCAGGCAGCCACCATTCTCATCCCGATCAAGCGCGACATGTCTGATTATCTGGTTGGCTGTCTTTTTAATCCCCTGATTTTTCATTGTTGCCGCTGTTTACCCACCCACACACCCCCCTCTGAAACTTCCGCCTCTACCGTTCCTATTTGTTTGCAGACTTGTGTCGCCGTGTTTGTGCAAGGGCTCGCTGACATATGTCCATGTGCACTGCCTGGAGCGTTGGATTAGCACCTCGCGCTGCACCACCTGCGAGCTCTGCCAGTTCCAGTACAACACCGAGCAGACTCTGCGGTAAGTTTAAGACCACACTCGAAAAAAGTCAATAAGGAATCCTATTGTTTTGAGCTAAATACTTTAAGGGACACTTTCATGGTCCCAAAAATATGTGGACTTTTGTATAGATAAAGTGGCTCTGCTAGAAATGTTTTTTCAAACAATTTAAAACCGGAAAAATATAGTTTTGGAAAAAATTTGCATCTGTATAAGGTAAAGAAAACAGATTCTCCGATTGGCACTTTTATAACCAACTCATTGCCACTTAGTCTAAATGTAAGCTCAATCGGTTGAAATTACAAGACCCCCAGTTCAAAAAATAGGTTTTTAAATACCAATTACAACTAAAATTTTGTCATAAAAAAATGTTTTCAATGATATTTATCTTTAAACGGTTAAAAAAAACACTAAGCACCCTAAAGACTTTTTTCCGAGTGTAGTTAGCATATGGCTTTAGCTGCCAGCAGTTGAAAGGTGCCGTTTGAAGCGGAAGAAGATGAAAAACGCCTGCGGCTCAGGTCTTTTTAATCAGCTGAGTTGGCGCCAGCTTTGTGGCTGATTCGGCGCCAGCTCCTGTTTCTGTGGCAGCGGCTCCTTCTAATTGCCAGTCGGCTTTGGCTTTGTTAGCATTGTTGTGCGGTCGTGTTGTGCGGCTGTGTTGTGCGGGGCGGGGTGTGCACTTCTCCAGCTTCCGTTGCAGGTACACCTGTGTGCAGTCGCTGCGTCTGTGGTATTCACGGGCCATGAGCCGCAGGGCGCTGCAGGAGGACTGCCAGATGTTCTCGCTGCTCACCCTGGTGGCATTCGGCATCATCGGCACCCTGCTGGTGGGCATCCAGTACTACGCCCTGCACACCCACTCCTGGGGTCTGAGCAAACTCTGGACCAAGTCCTGGATGCTGTTCTTTTTGTTCATGACGGTGGTGAAGCTGCTCGTAATTTCGCTAAATCACGACTAATGTGCCCGCCGCCCTCAGATTATCGTTTACTTTGCCAACATTTACATGCTGATCAAGTCCCAGCTGACGCCCTGGTATCGGTAAGATAATTAATATTAACTACTTTAATCTTTTCTAAAACTATTTAAACTAATTTGTTGTTCTTATAAAGGACTTAAGATCATAATTAACAAACGAAATTTTGAATTTATATCTATTTTAAAAGGAAAAATCAATTTCATTCTTACATTCTTTACTCCTTAATTTTCCTTCAGTATCTTAATATAAATAACTTGGTCATACTCGTGGATTGAGTTATATTTATCAAAAACTATAGTCTGATCTAATATTTTGTTGTATCATTATTCTGTCCATTTAGCTGGTGGCAGTCTGCTCGAGACATAAAACTTATCCTGGAGAACCGACGGCCCTTTCCCAATCCGAGTCGCTTTCTGCGGCCATTACACCTGGAGACGGCCTCGACAACAGCCTCCATGTTCACCCACCACGATCAGCAGGAGGGGCCCATGCCCAGCCGTCCGCCGGCCATCAGCTTGATCAGCTCCAGCGAAGAGGAGGTTGAGGAGAGGTTGGCCCACAAATGGGGCACCCGCCTGGACAGTGATGTCCTTGCCGCAGTTGTGGCGGCCACTGTGGAATCGATTGCGGACGCCAGTGCCCGCGAGAGCGACAAACAAGCCGAGCAACAGCAGCAGCAGCAGCAGCAACATCAGTCGCAGCAGCAGCAGCAACAGCAAGCTCAGCAGCAACATCAAGCTCAGCAGCAACAGCAAGCACAACAGCCGGAAGGTGGCAACTGAAAGGGCAATGACAAATACTGGACTCGGTCTCGGGGGGATTGGGAGCTCCTCACTCCCGGGTCTGGGCAAGTAATTAAGGCTCCAAGGGCAAGGATTTTTGCTTGGCTTTCGTTGTTTGCGTGTCATTTGTTTAATGTAGTTTCAATGCTTTTAATGAACTTTCCCGATGAGGGCTCGAGTTAAATGGGTAAACTTGAGCCCGCGTGCTGATGATGTTGTCTCTGGGTGGCGGAGCAGCTCCTGTTCTAGTTGCTCTTCCTTTTCCTGTCTGGGTTCGTGCCTGCACTCTGGCTGCTTCCTTCAAGACGCACAACTTCCGGTTTCCGGCCTTGGCTTACGGCTCTCACCCCGCACACTCCCTTTGGCCACCTTAAAGCGGGCAAATTAAAGCTGATAACACGGGGTGCACGAGGCTGATGGCTGAGCCAGTCACGTGATTGATGGCTCATAAATTAGTCATTTTGCCAGAGCAGCAGAGCGGCAGTCTATTTTAGAGTGTATGTGTATTTCGAAGCGGAAAGTGGGTGGGAGGCACTCGTTAGGGGAAGGAAACTCCCACAGGACGTTACTCGGTTGTCGCCTGTCTTGTTTGGCCATTTTTCTCCCAGCCTCGAGTGCAGCCTCGAAATCACCCGGTAATTTGGAATAGGGGGGGCCTACTACCCATGCTTATCCCTAACTCTCCCTTTACACTTCCCCTTTTCCATGGCAAGCCATTTAATAACAGCACGGGTCCTGGTTGCTAATGCACACTGGTTCAAGGACCCGGCGGAGTGCCTGAATTTTGAATGATTGGACTATCTGTCACCACTCTTTGGACCACTGCTGGCCAAAGGGCTAATCCTGGCTAAGAGATGCGAGCTGGCCGCCCACCTAATGTGCCAGTGATGTTGACATATTAGGCCGCACCACGCCCACCCGCCCCCTCGTTTGCGTACAGCCATATATGGCAAGGGGTTAACAACCCACTGCGACCTTCAATCATTTGGCTTTCGACTAGTCCTAGTCCGAGACGAAACCTAACGAAACGAAACGAAACGAAACGGACCGGACCCCAATGGTTTGGCAATCACGGGCGGAATGATTGAGTGCCTGCAAATCCCTTGCGGAATTTTCATTTATTTTGCACAATTTCCATATGTTAAGCCTTTGACTTTCGTACCCTGGCTTTCAGGCATTTTCGCATCGCTTACCAGTCTATTTTTAAATTTATAATATAAAGCATTTGTTTTTTCAACAGTTATACCTTAGGCACAATGCAGAAATAATTTGCAATTAAAATTTAAGGAAAAAATTTTTTCCATTAGATTTCTTTTTAATTACATACATTATATTTAATTAGCACAATGTTCAACAAACCTTACTAGGAAAAAATAATATATTGCCTAAGGGATAACAGCGTTAATAAACTATGCCTACTAGGCTTATGTTCTTTTTTAAAATGAAAAAAATATTTGGACTTAATTTATTGATTAAAGGTCTTTAAAAAAAAAAGAAATAAGACAATCATTGAAAAAAATAAGTTGAAAAACAATTCTAACTCTATTCATTTTAGCTCAAAATGAAATGTGAAAAAATGTCAAATTATTTCATTTGATGCAATAAAGTATTTGTATATTTTTTGCAATTTTAGTACCTTTGTTTTTTCTACTCTCTTTTAATTTGAAATAATCTATATTCCTGTGTTTTAATATTTTATTTAATATATAATTACGTTATATATAATATAAATATTATATAAATATTTTAAATATTTATTTATTATAGTTTCCCGGAATAACAAACTTGGCAATATTTTTATTTGCCAAATGGGGTATTATAAGTGCAGTGCCCCCGAAACAGTCCTTTGATTCTCCACTTTTTGTTGAAAATTTCTACTTACGTCCTTATCGCCGAGCCGCTCCACACGGCAGTGGAGAAAGCCGGTCTGGCCGACGGTTACGGTCAAGTTGCGCGGCACATCAAAGTCGAAGTAGGGCAGCAGATTCGAGGGCGAGATTGTTGTTGTCGTCGTTGTGGGCGGCGTGGGTGCCATAGCTGCGCTGTAGCCTGGAAATAAAAAACAAAATAGGGATGGAGGTCAGCGGAGTGGTGCGAGAGCAGCGGCATAAAAACTTGTGCCAAATGGAAATTTATTTTCATTTTCATTTGCACATACGTAGCAGCGTATTGTTGGTTTTAGCGGGGCATTCAAATGCCCCGAGCCTTGTGGCTGCCAAAGCCCTAACTGAAACTGAAAAGTAATAAAATTCGCATAAAAATTCTGCTCAAAAACGAAGCAGAAAAACAAATAAATGAACGCTGAGAGGGACATGGACGAGCATGTGTATGCCACCAAAAAATCCTCAACAAACAATTATACTTTCTTTTATATTTCTTTTGGCATTTGTTTGCTGATGCGTGAGCTTTTCATATTGCAGTGAAGTGGTGGAAAGTAGAGGGTAGTAAAGTCCTAGGGGATGTTCACTAAAAAATATCCAATAATGTGCCTTGCTTAACCACAGAAATGCAAACAAAAGTTACACATCCCATGAAAATTTTGATAATATTTCAAACATTTTCCCATTTCAATTTCGTGAGATTTGCCACAGAAAGTAAAATACTTAAACTTGGATAATATGATTGAAAAACTTACATAACAAACTAACACACAAACATAAATCTAGCAACTACTAGCCCTATTTGCGGATCGAAAAAAAACTTTTTCCTTTATTTGATGTGTACGAAATCAGAAGTCCATTTTTCTTAAGTTATCGGGCGAAATATATAAGCAATTATGCGCCGTTTTGTTCTCCGCTAGCCGAAAAGATGCTAATTATGATGGTAAAAATGTTTTCCGGTCATCAGCACACTTTGGCAAGTTTATGGCCACGGCAAAGTTGGTCCACTAAATATGTCAAAGCTGCACCAAAGTTGTGTCCTACAGTCCACTAAGAGCCAAGTTAGATAACGGCCAGGCAGCCAGGGAGCCACGAAACGGTTGAACTAAGTTCATCAATACGCAACGCGATGGCAGATGGGGGGCTCAAAGAAAAAGCTGGCAAAACTTTTGCACATCAAAGCCCTGTACAAATCGGCGCAGATCGCATGCAGCCAACTGGAATACGAATAATTGAATGAGGCAAGACGAGTCGAACTCCTGCTGGCGTCAGTTTATCGAACTCTGGGCTGAACTCTAACTGGCAGCAAGGAATCAAGCGCCTCCCCCTCCCCCAATTCCATCCATCGTCAGAAGATAGAGGAAAACTGCTGTTGCACATTTCCGTTTCCGCACGCGCGCAAAAAAAAAGAAGTGAAAACTTTCGCCAGGGCACGCACACGCACACACCCACACGCACAACCACTTTCACCGAGGCATCTGGAAGACATACGCAAACTTTTCACATGCGTAGCAACGTGAAAACACGAATCGACTCCACCACATCGACGGTGGTTTGGGCTTGGGTGGTTTGCTGGCTGTCGGGACATGACAAATTTTACGATTTACTTTTTGAAAATTTTCGAACACAAAGTTAAATTTAATGCGCACCCGCAACATTTGCGTACGTGCGGCTTTCCATCTTCGGGTAATATGCAAAACATTTCGGCATAGATAATAACGTAGGAGGACCGTCGGGGAAAAGTTTTGTTCGTTAATCGAAGTCGAGTTGCACTTTTATGAAAAAGATAAGAGCAGTAACTAATTTTGAAATATTTTGTAATGTAAAATAAGATTGAATTTGAATATGTACTCTTACATAAACAGAAATTGTTTTGTTTGAAAAAGGATATAAGGTTAGATAAATCTAAGGAAAATCTTCTAAATAATTTGTTATATATTTTACAGATAACTATTATATGTATATTAAATTAATTTTGACAGCAAGGTTTGATAGCGACTCCCTAGGCAAAGTACCCGCTTATACTCTACTCCACTGCCGCATCCACAGAGATAGGTAACAGGGTATCAAAAGCGAGCGAAAATTAGCTTAGAAATGTTGCACGTATGCGTGCGTGGCGCATAAACGGCGTGGAAAAGCGTGGGAAATTCGCTGAGCGGAAAGCGCGCAACGCCAAAGCGGTGGCAAGGGGACAGGATGGCGGGGGTGGAACAGAACTTAATTTATTGTTTATCAGCGAACATGCAATTTATGGGCAGCCCTGAAAAGATTTTCACCAACATTTTTGGCCCAACCACCCATTTTGTGGGCGATGGGGAACGGGAGCCTTGTGCTAATTTTAAGTTTATGCATGGAAAATTTGCTCACGCTGTGAAAATTAACGATGCGGCTGCCGGGAAATGCCTAGCCCAACTTGTCGAAGCCTCCATTTCGTTGTTAGCCAGTTTGTTTGCCCCGTCATTTGGGCCCACTTTGGCTATCGATAACAGCCGAACAGCTGGCGGCTGTCAGATTTTGGCTTTGGCTTTAAGCGTGCGCTTAATCAAAAAAGCTCGGCGCCTGCAAATTAACATGATGCATGGTGGGCCAAGGGGTATCCGGCCCCTCAAAACTGTCACACCGAAGCCCCTGAGCTGCGGTTAAGGGACCAAAAATATTTGTCGACTTTCAACCCGAAAATTAGCAAATGTGGTGGAAAATGTTTGCGGTTGTGTGTGGTTCGCGTGGCACAACATATGCATATTTATAGCGGCGCTTTGCTTGGACCATAAATCGAAAATGCCTGATATCGATTTGAAAACCATTAAATCAAGGCCGCCTTAATTGAGCGTGAAATTTAGTTAGGGTACATAGTATTTCAAAGCACAACGGTCATCAATGCAAATTTCTTTTAAAACTGGGAATATTAATGAAAACTATTTAGCCAAAAAACCAAAATCAGTAATCAATTAATTTAAAAAAATGTATAGAAAAACGTCTCTGTATTTTATACATCTTTTAAAATTTTCTGTTCAATATTAGGTTAGTAATAGCAAAAGGTCAATGTGAAAAAATATTATTTTTAACCACGTATTACAGTGATTGAATCCAATTTTACTCTTCGACAGAGTCTGTATGTTTATTTTGGCTTTAATTCTGTTATGATTTTTTCATTTCATTCCTTTTTTAACATTTATTGAATTATTTTGTTTATTCTTCGATAACAATAATCGAACTGACAATGTTTTCTTCTCTGTAAGCTGACAGAACTTTGCCTTTGGCCTTAATCTCGATTGGAGCATGTGAGCATGAAGCGAAGACGAAAGCCAAGACTCTTCGATGAGAAGCGACGAATGTTTGGATTGTCCATGATCCCGGCACTTACGGTTAAGTTGCAGTGACATCGCAATGATGCCTTGAGTGGCAGTCGATGCACTCGACGGGGCCCTTTCTCAACTTGGCCCACAAATGTCTACCCCCATGGAGCAAGGGGGCGGTGGGGGCGGAGATGGAAACGCAGCTTGAGCTCCTTTAAATATGCCGAACTATCGATTATACTGGCTGAGTGTATCCGCTTTGGCTTCGAGCGAGTGAACAGAGCAAAATATTTGTGCAGCAAATTGCTCCTGACACTTTGCCACTCTATTTGCAAGGACAAATTAAATCGAATTTAAATTTGACAAAAAAAACATTGAACGTATAATCAGAAAAGTTATGTATGTTTGAACATGCAAAAAAGTGAAAGGCAAGAAGTCATTTGGCTCACAGCAGAGATGATTTTTAAAGCAAATTTGCTTAAATAAATTCAAAGCCGACTTTGACTCGGGGATTTTCGTCTTGGGCGGCAAAGTTTTTTGTCGTGTGTCGCCATTTTTATGGCCGACAATGTCTGCCTTTCCCCACTTTCCTCCGCTCCGCCCAGCCATTTCATCACTCAGTTGGCATTATAAGTGCCGCATTTGGAATTTATGATTATTTTTTCCTTCGCTTTTGGCCCCCATCCCTTTTGAGTCCCGGCAAGCTAATATGGCCATATGAATGCTTAAATACAAATACGCATACAAATCGGGCCAAACTATAAAAACAGTCGGTCATGACTCACAATGAGGCACGATAAGTGAGCGCGGCGACATATTAGGCAATCATGTGTGGAAAACTGCGACTCTTGGCAGCTCTGGGAAAACTTCGTTAGACAACGCCAACGATGTCGCATTTCAATGAGCATACAATCCCATGAAAATGTTGCAAAGATGAACCGCCAGACCACCCAATCCCCACTCCAAGTGCCCAAATCTGTCTGTCTGCGTGCCTCATTTAAAAACCGCCCGTTCGCATTTGCATGCGCATCGCATGTCACGCAGAAAAACGCAAAAAATCTGGGCCAAAAAAATGTGGAAAAAATCGGAAACGAAATCAGATAACGCCCGCTGAATGCTGCGACAAGTGACGGATGTGTCTCGTAAATGCTTCGACGAAGGGCGAATGGCGAGATCGTTGGGCAAATGAAAAATAAAAGCCAGAAATTATCTGAAATCGGCTTAAGGCGCGCAGCTCAATCAAAGGTGAGCAAGTGGGGGACACTTGCCACCGATGGCTGTGTGTGCTCGTATCTGCCAGATGTATGTCTCCTTGTCGGCACCACATGCTGCTGCACCCTCGAGCGTGTTGACAACGCCACCAGCACACATAATCATTTTCTAGGACCACAACTGCTGGCGCTGGCAAGTTCCCACGTCGAGACTCTCCAGCTGAGCTCAGCAAGTTTCGCCTCAAAGTGTGCTTCACTTAAATACAGACATTAATCGGAGCTCCAAGCTGCAAGCTCTGGGCTCTGAGCTCCGAATCCTTACTCCCATCTACAGTGCGGTCTGTTTACATGCTCCACTTCAAACACATACTTTATGATCGGAATCGATTTGACTCCGCTTCCTTTTCGCAATGGCAAGTGCAGTCGAATCGGAACGCAATTGTAAAAACAATTTCAACTGCTTTATTGTTTGTGAATGAAATCCCATATTGGTTAACCGACAAGGAATAAAAATTGTTGCCTCGCACCGACTTTCGAAAAATTGATTACACTTAATGGCGATGATAAAACCGTAAAGCCTGACCACACGGCGTATGCGTAATGTTCGAGCAATTATCATTGGCATATTGCAGGCCATCGCCGGCAAACGCAGCCATTTTGCC